ATTTTAACCATTTTAAGGTGCACAATTCAATGGCTTTTAGTATATTCAAAAGGTTATGCAAACACCATCACTATCTAATTCCAGATCATTTTGTTACCCCAAAAAAGAAACTCTATGCCCACTAAGCAGCCACTCATTTACCCCACTACCACCTACTCCTCACCATCAGCTTGCTCTCTCTCTCTGGATTTGTCCATATGGACACTTGATATAAATAGAATTTTATATACAATATGTAGCTTTTTTAGTCTAGATTCTAGCACTCACCATACTGTTTCAAGGTTCATCTATACTGTATCAGAACGTCATTCCTTTTTTATAGCTAAATAATACTCCACTGTCCAGATAAACCAACATTTGTTTATTTCTTCATTAGTTGATGGACATTTGAGTTGTTACCTCTTTTTGGCTATTGTGAATAATGCTGCTATGAACATTCGTGAACAAGTTTTTGTGTGGACATGATTTCAGTCCTCGTTGGTATATACCTAGGAGTGAAATTGCTGGGTCATATGGTAATTCTGTGTTTAACTTTTGAGGAAACTGTTTTCACAGCAGCTGCACCATTTTACATTCCTATCAGCAAAATTTGAGAGTTCAAATTGTTTTACATTCTCGTCAACACTTGTTATCAGCTGACTTTTTGAGTCCAGCTATCCCAGTTGGTGTGAAGTAGATCTTGTTTCCTACAATTTTGCTGAATTCATTTGCTTGTTCTAATTGTGTGTATGTGTATTTAGAATTTTCTGTATATAAAAGCATGTCATCTCTGAATACAGACAGTTTTGCTCCTTCCTTTCCAATTTGAATGCATTTTATTTCTTTTTGTTGCCTAAATGCTCTGTATCAGACTTCCAGTACATTGTTGGATAGAAGTGGCAAGAGACATCCTTGTCTTGTCCCTGATCTTAAGTATGATATTAACTGTGAGTGTTTTGTAGGTGGCCTTTATCAACTTGAGGCAATTTCCTTCTATATCTAGTTTGGTAAGTGGTTTTTTTTTTTGCAATGAAAAGGTGCTGGATATTGTCAAATGCTTTTTCTGCATTAACTGAGATGATCCTGTGGGTTTTTTTCCCTTTCATTCTATTAGTGTGATATATTACATATATTGGTTTTTTTATGTGAACCACCCTTGCATTCCAGGGATAAGTTTCATTTGGTTACAGTATAATCCTTTTACTATTCAGCTGGATTCAGTTTACTAATATTCTGTTAAGGATTTTTGCATCTGTATTCATACGGGATAGTCATCTGTAATTTTCTTTTCTTGTGATGTATTTGGCTTTGGTGTCAGGGTATTACTGGCCTAAAAGAATGAGTTAGGAAATGTTTGCTTCTCGTCACACTTTTTTCAAGAATTTGGAACGATTGGTGTTAATTCTTTGGTAAAATTCACCAGTGAAGCCATCTGGTTATGGGTTTTTCTTAGTTGGAAGTTTTTTGAATATTGATTCCTCTCTTTGCTTGTGATAAGTCTATTCAGATATATTATTTCTTCTTTGAGTCACTTTTGGTAGTTTCTGTGTTTCTAATAATTTGTCCATTGTATCCAGGTCAGTTTCTGGGTATGCAACTGTCCATAGTACTCTGTTCTCAATTTTGTTGATCTTTGCAAAGAACCAACTTTTGGTTTCATTGTTTTATCCCTATTTTTTCTTTTCTCAGTTTTATTTATCTCCACTCTAATCTTTATTTCCCTTCTTCTGCTTGCTTTAAGTTTAGTTTGTACTTCTTCTTCCTAGTCCCTTGAGGTAGAAGCTGAGGTTATTGATTAGAGACCTTTCTTCCTTTTAATGTAGGCATTTAACAGCTATAAATTTTGCTCTGAGCACTATCTCTCTTAATTTTTGATGTGTTGTGTTTTCATTTTTATTCATCTCAAAGTATTTTCTAATTTCCCTTGTGATTTCTTCTTCGACTTCTTATTTAAGAGTATGTTATTTAATTTCCACATTTTTGTTCATTTTCCGGATTTCCTTTAGTTATTGATTTCTAATTTTATTGCATTGTGCCCAGAAAAGATACTTTATATGATTTCAATTTTTTTTTTACAGGTATTGAGATTTTTGTTACTTAATAAATGGTCTATTTTGGAGACTGTTTCATGTGTACTTGACAAAAATATAAATTCTGTTATTGAATACAGTGTTCTATGTGTGTCTGCTAGGTCTGATTGGAGTGTAATGTTGTTCAAGTTCTCTATCTCTATTGATCTTCCATCTAGTTGTTTTATCGTGATTGGAGATGGAGTACTGAATTCCAGCTATTATTGTTGTACCGTTGGTTTCTCCCTTCAGTTCTGTCAGATGTTTCTTCATATATTTTGAGGATCTGTTGTTGAGAGCATATTTGTTTATAATTGTTATACTTCTTGATGGATTGACCATTTTATTGTTATATAACGTCCTTCTTTGTTATAACAACTTTTGTCTCAAAATGTGTTTTGTCTGATATTGGAATAGGTACTCCAGCTCTCTTTTGGTTACTGTTAACATAAAAACATCTTTTTCCATCTTTTACTTTCAATCTATTTGTGTCTTTGGATCTGATGTGAGTCTCTTATAGAGAGCATACAGTTCACTCATTCAGCAGTGTTTTTAAAGACCTACTATGTACACAGAATTACCTAGGCTCTGGGTGAGAGAGTTCCTGTGCGCAGTAATTTAAAATCTCCTAAGATTTAATAAATGGGGTATGAATAAAAGTTCTTTGGTGGGTGCATTCACTTTGTGAAAACGCATCCATCTGTATTGGGATTTATGCCATTTTCTTTATGTATGTTACTCTTCAAGAAGATGATCCCCCCAAAGTGCTTTGGGAATTCAAAATTAGAAGAAATTATTTTCAGCCGAGAGCATAAGGGGACTGCCTTCAAAAGGAAACCAACTTTCAGGCCTTGTGTTATAATGTTACTGAGATTCGTAATAATAGGATTAGGTGGTTTTATTTACTGATAAGCAGATGATATCATTATTAAGAACTTACTATGTGCCAGTGACTTCTTTGTGCATATTAATCTACTGAATCCTCCTAGCACTCCTATTAAGTAGGTTACTAATGTTGTCTCCATTTGACAGAGGGGAAAAATAGAGACACAGTGAGGTTACATAAGTGGTGAAGCCAGGATGTGAACTGCTCAGCCCAGCTCATCTCTCAGCAGTTCTCAGAGTGTGGTCCAAGAATCCTCAGGAGTCCCAAGAGTGGGAGCAGGGAGGGGAGGTCCACAGATCAAAACTGTATTTATAGAATATTAAGACATTATTTGCCTTTTTCTCAATAGTGTATGTAGGAAATTTTCAGAGACTATACGATGTGTGTTATCAAAACAGATTGAATGCAGAAGCAGATATGAGAGTCCAGCTTTCTTCTATTAAGCCAGACACTAAAGAGATTTTTTAAAATGGAAAGCAATGCCATGTGTGTGTGGGGGTGGGGGGGTGGGGGGGGGTCGGGGGCTTAAAATAGTTTGGGAGATCAGAAGTCTAAAATCAAAATGTAGATGGGGTTGTGTTCCTTCTGGAGGCTTCAGTAGAGAATCTATTCCCCTGCTTGTTTTTAGTTTCTAGAGGCTGCCTGCATTCCCTTAGCTCGTGACCTGTTCCTTAAATCACTCCAATCCCTTGTTTCTGTTGTCTCATCTCCTACACTATCTTTGACCCTCTTGCCTCCCTCTTACAAGGATCTTGTGATTACACTGGGCCCACCTGGAAAACAAGCATACTCGTGCCATCTCAAGATCCTTAACTTATTTACCTCTGCAAGTCCATTAACAGGTTCCCAGGATTAGGATGTGTACATCTTTGGGGGGCCATTACTCAGGCTACCACACCTGCTTTGCTATGTGTTCTTTCAGCAAGTCTGCATCTCTGATAGTCCTCGTCTCTACAATTCAGTACTATTTGAGCTTCAATATATGCCCTGCTCACATCCCTGGAAGGGACAGAAAAAGTATCACATGACTCCACCCTCCTTGGCAGGGTAATAGTTGATGAACAGCTGATCAATTTCCTGGTTAATGACCTATTGTCCCATTGACTTGCCTTTTACCAGCCAGTGATTCAGTTCTAAAGAATTTGGATGAACCCTGGCCGGTTTGGCTCAGTGGTTAGAATTTCGTCCTGCGGACCAGAGTCACAAGTTTGATTCCGGTCAAGGGCACGATCCCCAGTTGTGGTCAAGGGCACGTACCCAGGTTGTGGTTCAGTCCCTGCCCTAGCAGGGGTTGTGCAGGAAGCAACCAGTTGGTGTATCGATGTTTCTCTCTCTTCTCCCCTACTCTGTCTGGAAAAAAAAAATGGAAAGGTATCCATGGGTGAGGATTTAAAAAAAAAAAAGAATTTGGATGAAACTGTACAGGGACTGTAGCCAGTTGATAGTTGTTTCCTTATTTCATTTTTTCCTGGGGACAAACTATTTATTTTTATTTAATTTATTGGGGTGTCATTAGTTAATAAAATTATATTATTTTTTATAGTTTTATATATTTTATATACATAGTTTTATATATTATAGTTTTCAGGTGAATGCCATTCTCATAAATTTTGTTTGCAAAATATATTTTTAATAAATTATATTTCATGTTACTATTTAATGGCCTTATCATTGCTTTTAATAAATTAATATTTAACCTTCTGTTTCATTTTTAAAGCAATAACTATGTATAGCTATAACTCACAGCGACTAAAGTACTTTGCAGTCCTCGGTAATTTATAAAGAGTGTCGAGGGACCCTGAGACCGAAAGTGTGAGCCCACAGCCCCGCACTGCTCTGCCTTGGTGGGGTGGTCACCAAACAGCTCGTTTTGTGACCAGGGCAGCAGCCTGTTTGAGACGCGGCACATAACAGCGCCCCTTCCTTTTCTCCTGTGAAACTGGACCTAAGATTGCCGCCAACCAGGGCAGCTGGGAGTTAATGGGAGGGTGCAAGTGGAGGCCTGGTGCGAAGTCAGCACGCAGTCAGCAGCACCGCGCCTGGAACTGTTCTTGTGTCACCCGCAGGTGATGGACTTTTACTGCCAGTCTTGTGAGACCGCCATGTGCCGGGAGTGCACTGAGGGGGAGCACGCGGAACACCCCACAGTGCCCCTCAAGGACGTGGTGGAGCAGCACAAGGCTTCACTCCAGGTGCAGCTGGACGCTGTCAACAAAAGGTGCGCACACCTCCCCGGCTGCGCGCTGGCCGCCCCAGCGTCAGGCTTGGCCTCACGGTCTCTTGTCCCCGTGGGCTAGTAGGTTCATGTCACCTACATCAATTCTTCCATTGGGGGGGGGTCTCTAGTCATAAGCTAGTGAGTGGAAGGTTGTCCCTTATCCCTTGGTAACCCCCCCCCCGTGTTATGAATGATGGCATTTTTGTTTAGTGCCTTAATATGATTATAAATAAAATATACTTGAGGCTAATGCTCTCAGGAGTTCTCTAAAATGTGTATGTGAACCCAGGCTCTCTGAGGAGCCTTTCTTATCTGCTGCTCCTGACATACAGGCCCATTGTGTCGCCTGTGACTGGTTCCTCCCTGCCTGAGGCCAGCAAAATGGTACCGAGCAGTGATTGCTCCATTTTCCTTATGTTTCCCTGACCCAGGCCTTTTTTTTCTTTTGGCATGGAATTGAAGGAACAGAGTAGCTGTGTGATGCGTGAGAAAGACCAGACAGGAAATAAATAGCCAGCTGAATATAAATCTCTTCACTAACAGTTGTAATGAGGCAAGTGTTATTCTATAGTAATTAAAAGAATTTGAGGACTTGCAAGAAATTCTCAGGGAACTCTGAGTTTGGAAAAGTTTTTCATAGGATTGAGGAAAAAGATACCACTGTATGTTTAAAATTGATTCTCAGCCATCGGTAATTATACACCCCTCCCCCAGTCTCACCCCAGGGACATTTAGCAATGCCTGGAGACAATTTAGTGTGTGTATGTATGTGTTTGTGCTATTGGCATCTGGTAGAGGGCAGGATGCTGTTAAACATCTGTAATGCACAGCACAGTCCCCTGCAACAAAGAATTCTCTGGCCCAAAATATCAACAGTGTCAAGATTGAAAAAGCCTGGTTTAGAGAGTGAGGAAAAGACTTGGTTCAGAGAGCTTCAAAGCTTTTTACCCATCCATTATTCAAAGTGGGTGACTAAGGTAGATTGGAATAAACATGGACCCTCAGTCTCTTCTCTCAAAGGCTATAATTATGTATTACTCATTTTATTCTTCAGTTATTATTTCTTAAAGATGATGAGAGGTACATAAAATGTTGGGGTGTTTTTGGTGTTTTTTTTTTTACAAAATACATTATTTAGATAGTTGGGGTTTTTGTCTTTTGTTGTTTTTGTTTTTATTTTTACTATTTCTAGGTTGATGTTAAATAATAATGATCTTTAATAACTGTCCTCCAGGCTCCCAGAGATAGATTCTGCTCTTCAGTTCATCTCGGAAATTATTCATCAGTTAACCAACCAGAAGGCCAGCATTGTAGACGACATCCATTCCACCTTTGATGAGCTCCAGAAAACTTTAAATGTACGCAAGAGCGTGCTGCTTATGGAACTGGAGGTCAACTACGGCCTCAAACACAAAGTAAGGCTCCATCCAGCTGTTCTTACAGATGTCCTAGAAGAGACATGATGTCTGGGGCACCTCCTGGCATTAGCTTACTGTGCTCTAATAGCAGCCAAGGGGACTCAGATGGGTCTTTAAGTGTGACTGTTGCTCCTCAAGTGTCACTGTTGCTCAGTAAACAGTAGTTTTCACTGAATGGAATATCCAACTTTTTTTTTTCCTTCCTGTTTTCAGCACAACTAATTCTGTGACCTTAAGTCCCAATTAATCATTTGACACAAGGCAAGTTTGGATATAAAGTAATGTTTTCAGGATTTAGAGTTAAAACTGGATTGTTTTCCTGCCTTGATTATAATGTATAATAGTCTCTTAATTATTCTCTCACCTACACCAACCTGTTAGTCAACTTCAAAGTGAGCCCTGACTGCAGCCTTTGTTTAACTCTGCATGTCCCATCACAAAACCAGGTATAAGGAGGTTCTTGAGATTCAGGTGTGGAGAGTTTGCATTCCTCTGGTGTCTGTTCCTTTAAGAGGTGACAGGGGAGCTTGGGACATTAAAGAAAGATATGGAATAATAAATATTTCAGATGTGAAGCATGACAATCTAAGCTCTGGGTGGTGACGTTTCTGCTCAGTGCTTTCAAAAACACACGACCCAAGAAATATGTGTGTGGGAGAAACAGGGCGAGGCTGAAGGAAAGCGAAGGGCCTGGGAACGCAGTGCATTAGAACCGCGTTCAGTGAGTGAAAACAAACACCCCTCGCTGAGAGCCACGGGTGTGGGCAGGTGCAGAACCGGGTGCGCACTGCACGGCCCTGCGTCCTACTGGCTGAGCTCCGGTGCTGCAGGAAGCACTCACCCGGGTGCGTTTTTCCTGCAGGTCCTGCAGTCGCAGCTGGATACTCTGCTCGAGGGCCAGGAGAGTATTAAAAGCTGCAGCAACTTCACGGCGCAGGCCCTCAACCATGGCACGGAAACCGAGGTGCTGCTGGTGAAGAAGCAGATGAGCGAGAAACTGAACGAACTGGCCGACCAGGACTTCCCACTGCACCCGCGGGAGAATGACCAACTGGACTTCATCGTAGAGACCGAAGGGCTCAAGAAGTCCATCCACAACCTCGGGACGATCCTCACCACCAACGCCGTCGCCTCCGAGACCGTGGCTACGGGCGAGGGGCTGCGGCAGACCATAATCGGGCAGCCGATGTCCGTTACCATCACAACCAAGGACAAAGACGGGGAGCTCTGCAAAACCGGCAATGCCTACCTCACCGCGGAGCTGAGCACGCCCGACGGCAGCGTGGCGGACGGAGAAATCCTCGACAACAAAAACGGCACCTACGAGTTTTTGTACACCGTGCAGAAGGAAGGGGACTTTACCCTCTCTCTGAGACTCTACGACCAGCACATCCGAGGCAGCCCGTTTAAGCTGAAAGTGATCAGGTCGGCGGACGTGTCGCCCACCACCGAGGGCGTGAAGAGGCGCGTGAAATCCCCGGGCAGCGGTCACGTGAAGCAAAAGGCTGTGAAACGCCCCGCGAGCATGTACAGCACTGGGAAGAGAAAAGAGAATCCCATCGAGGACGATTTGATCTTTCGAGTGGGTAAGGAGCACGCGGCGCGGCGCCTGCGGCGGAGGGTTGCTTAGGTTAAGGGGTACCGGAGAGTGGCTGCGAAGGGGGGCGTTTCAGGGCAGAGCTTCTGCCTGAAGGTGTTGGGAGGAACTGGTGTATTTTATTAGGCGAGCTTATGTGGTCTCCATCTCTGGAGACGTTATGCTTTATTTTCCGCCCCTCCTTTTTCCTCCTTGTCCCCTCTCCCTCTCTCCCTCCTCCTCCTTTTTAACGCACAACACTGCACGTTCGCTGTAGAAAATTGGAAACTGAAAATAAGCAATAGGAGAATTAGAAAAGTCACAGCACTCATAATCTGGCAATTTGAAAGGAATGTTGGCAATTTTTTACCTCCCGATAGGAATGTCTTTGGAGAACTGCCTAACCCAAAGGCGGAGATCGTCCTATCCGATAACGTTCCGTTTCTCAGAAATCTGCCAGCTTTGGGCTATGGTGTGGGCAAAGGGCCTGGTGCCTCCGTCACTGCTGCTGGGGTTGGGGGACATCGTGCATTGCAAGTTGAGGTCACCGCCAGTGTGTTAGCTGGAGAGCAGCCCCCAGATCGGGAGAGTGGGTGGAAACCTGGAGAACGGAATGGAGTTAGGGTGGAGGCAGAAGGATGCGAATGAGCCAAGAGATTGGAGTGTGCAAATAGCCCATCCCTTTTCTGTTTAATTGCCTCTGATTTTTTAAAAATATCAAAACAAAAGTTTACTGAGACTATTTTTTTAAGTTTATTGAGTCTAATTTTTTATTGTTAAAAGTATTACAGATGCCCCCCTTTTCCCCAGTGACCCCCTTCTCCCTGCTTTCACTCCCCCTCCTGCTTTCCCCAACTTAATGTCTGTGCATTTGCATAGATGCTATTTTTAGCTGTTTATTTTCTCTAAGTGAACTAGATGTAAGCAAACAATTTTATAATTCTTGAGGGAAAAAAGAGTCTGCATTTTAGTTACTGCATCCAAAAGTAGCTTCAGCCTGCTTCTCTTTTGCCTCTGCAGTCCTTATCACAGTATCTGTAAAAGGGTGCTGCCCTGTGTATTAAATGACACCTGTAGAAAAACAATTCTGTGGTTCAAATAAATGGGAGAAACCTTAGCTTAAGTGAAAGAAACGGATTATTTTTAAAACTGCAGAACCTTTAGAATCTGCTGATGTGCGTTTTAAGTCTCCAAGGCAGAGGAGAGATAACAGGCAGCACTTCCAAACTTTTCTGACCACAGAACTTTTTCCACGGAACATCTTGGGGAAGTAACTCCTTGGAACATTCCTGGGCCAAGCTGCCTTATGTTAATACTTTAGGCTGAGTCTTGGTGAACACCGTGATGTGATATGTCACTTGTCTGCCCAGGGCATGGAGGCCTCCTACAGTCACAGGCTGTTTGTGCAGTGTGGGTGCAGAAATTGTTGATCCACCCACCAAAGCAGAGTGGGTGAGCTGGGCAAGTACAGGATTGGGAGCCTCCCAGTTCTGCCACTCCGGTTCTGCCGCTGACTTGAAACCTGGGTAGGTCTTTCAGCTTCCCTGGGCTTCAGTTTCCATGTCCATCAAATCAGAATACAAATATCTGCTTCTGAGAACTGTTTTAAATTCCAAGAATAATGCCTGCATGTAAGAGGAGCAAGATGAATGAAATGTATTGTTTTTGCATATGCAATTAAGGTTGTTGAATGTTCCCTACTACATTCAAAAAATGTAACTGGCTGCTGCCTATGGATCTCCTGCATTAAGAATAAACTCAATTTCAAATTCAAAACCCCCCACCTACAGCCAAGGGACCCCACCCAGTCTTCTTGTCCAGGCAGTGTGCAGAGTGGAGAAAGGTTCAGACCTGGCTTAGATTTTGGCTCTGATTCTCTTTGCCAGCTGGGCAACCAACTTACCCTTTCTTAACCTGGTTTCCTCCTCTGTAAAACTAAGGGAATGACATATTACCTAACTCTTAAGGTTGTTGTGGGGTTGAAAGAGAGAGAATTCTTGTGCGATGGCTGGTATTTGCCTGTGTATAGTAAATGCTCTGTTCATGGTAGCTAGTGTTTTACTGTTGTTATCAATCATCGTCATCTCCAACTGTGATTCTCCTGAATAAAGCAATCTCTCTCTTAGGGCTATTTTCCTTCCAACAATATTGACTCTAAATTCCCAGCTCCCACCCTAGAGGGGAGAGGATATGCTCTCTCCCGTCCTATCCATTGATAAATGGAGCCATAGTGATTCACTGACACAGGTGGGAAGGTGTTTAAATGATTAAACATTAGTAAAGTGCTTAGAACAGTGCCTAGCAAGCAGCACTCTGCCCGAGTTGGTTAATAAAGATGCTGTCTTAGTTGGCTCAGGCTGCCATAAAATACCACAGACTGATGGCTTAAACAACAGAAAATGTATTTCTCACATTTGTGTAGGATGAAAGTCCAAGATCAAGGTGGCAACAGGGTTGGTTTCCTCAGAGGCCCCCCTCCCGGGCTCGCAGGTGGCTGCCTCCCTGCTGCTCCTGCTCACATGGCTGTCCCCTGCTCACATGGCTGTCCTTCTGTGCACAGGGACCCCTGCTGCTGCTTCCTCTTCTGACAACAAGGACGCCAACCATGTTGGATTAGGGCCTCACCCTAATGGCCTCATTTTAGGTTGAGCAACTCTCGAAAGACTCTATCTCCGGATATAGTTACCTTATAAGCTACGATTAGGACTTCAATATATGAGTATTGGCGAGACACAGTTTAGCCCACAGCAAATGTTAAACATCTCAGTTAGGTAGGGGCAGAAAGAAAAGCAGGTCCCACTGGCCTATTCCTCTTCATCTTTATGTTCTAATCCAGAGTCCAGCTGAAAGATGCCGCTCACTGTGCAATAATGTAACTCAAACACATGTCTAGGGCACTCAGTGCCTGGCAGGTGCTAGGTGATGGGAATATAGAGATGAAAGAAATGGGAAATCCACCCTCAAGGAGCTTACAGTTTGGGATAACAGATGTAGGACCAACTAACTCTAATACCATAGCTTAGGTGAGGGAAAGCTATAGAAATGAGAAGGAGTTTAAATGGGACGTAAATGATGAGTACGACTTATCCCGGTTGACAGGTGGAAATGGCATCTCAGGTAGAGGGACCAGTGTGAAGGGCAAAGGCACGGTAAAGAGGAGTGAACAGGATTGATGTTTTAGGGGAATACCTTCCGTGAGGAGATGTAGGCTGAGCGAAGGTCAGAGGAATGGAAAGTCAGGAAGGCACTGGCGGAGATGAGGCTGGACAGATCAGTGTTGGACCCTGCTCCTGAAGGCCTCTTGAACTTTCACACCTGGGCATCTTCAAGCCTCTTGAACTTTCACACCTGGGCATCTTCATCTATCAATTCTTTCCCCAATTTTATCCTTCCCTCAAGTACCACCTCCTCTTTTAGAAGGCACTTAATTATCATCATTCGTGCATGGGTCATATTTCCCAATAAGATTATAAATTACTTCAGGTCCAGGATGATGTCTTTAACCATCTATAATCTTCAACAATAGCCAGAAGAATATTTTGCATAAGTACTTTGCCCATTTGAAATACGATCAAGTCATGACCTGCTGCATGATTTAACTCCTCGGCTTACCACTGTGAAGTCCCAGTTTCCAGGCCCAGGGGCACCTAGAGCAGGCAACAAGCACTAATCTCAAGGGTAGTCATTCTCATGCGTGGAGCTATGCCAGGCGCTATCAGACAGCGCTGGCCCTTTAAGAACTTGTTTTCTCAACCTGTATCCCGTTGGCTACAAATGGGTAGAGCTTATATTAATCATTAGAACAGTTCAGCATTTCTTGGCAGTTATTTTGTTTTAGAACTTTAAGTTTCTTTGTACAGTCAGGCTACGAGGTGCATGGTAACAGAACATTCATGATTTGAGCAGCTCCTTGGTTTGTGAGTTCAAGCCTGCCACGTGGAATCCATAATTCATTGAATCTGCTACGCGTCAGAGGTGGCCACTGTGATTCTGCTGTTGTGACACTCATTTTGTGCTTAAAGATACAGTTTTCATAATACATGTGTTAGGGTTCATGCAACAACCCTAAATAACATGTTAATGTTATGCATTCATGAAAGTGAATTACCACTTTTTGGATGATATAAGAGATTTTCAGGGGTAAATATGACTCTAATGGTCACCTTCCTCACCAGTTTTATCCAGCCTGCTAGTTATATGTGACTTTGCCATTTGAGCACCTAGCATGTGCCAGACACTTGGCTGGGTCGTAGTATAAAGAGAGGGATGAGCCCGGCCAGTGTGGCTCAGTGGACTGAGCGTCATCCCATGGACTGAGAGGTCCCAGTTCGATTCCTAGTCAGAGCATATGCCCAAGTTGTGGCCTCAGTCCCCAGTGGAGGGCATGCAGGAGGCAGCTGATCAAGGTTTCTCTCTCACATCAATGTTTCTATTTCTCTAGAAAATCAATAAAAACATATTTCTTTAAAAAAAGAGAGGGTTGAGATTCTGACTTTGACCTGGAGGAGGCCACAGTCTAGAACAGTGGTTTTCAACCTGTGGGTTGCAACCCCTATGGGGATTGAATGACCCTGTCACAGGGGTCACCTAAGACCATCAGAAAACATATATTTCTGATGGTCTTAGGAACGGAGACACGGCTCCTCTATCCATCTCCAGGCGGGATCCGCCACATGCAGATCCGCCCACATACAACATGAGGAGCTGTGTTAAAGGGTCGTAGCATCAGGAAGGTTGAGAACCACTGGTCTAGAAGGAGACAGACATGAGAAAAATGTACCTTCAGTATGAATCAAGGCACAGAAGCTGGGGTGAGGTGGGAAAGGAGGCAGGCAGGCAGGCAGGGGGAGTTCAGGAAAGTTCCTGGTGATGACATCTAAACCTAAGTTGGCTTTGAAAGTGTGTCTATCTGATGGAAGGAGGAAAAGGGTGGTTTTAGATGAAAGGAAAGCAGGTACAAAGACATGAAGGTGAGAAACTGAGCAGTTCAAAGAACTATAAATGATGCCA